CACAGGTGTAGCTCGCTGAAGGCTCGACCACATTCTGTAAAAGTTGCTCATGAACAGCTTCAGCTGCATGAAAATTATACGGATGCATCACAAAAGTATTTAATTTTGCAACCAAAACACTTATTAAATCATTCACAAATCATTCAAACACAATTAGACGATTCAATGAGATCATTCACTCGACGAGCACTATGATCACATTGAATCCATCGAGAGTTTTTATCCGATCAAATGATTCTAGATCAAACGATTTATCCCCAAGCGGATAAATCCCCATTTGACATTTTAAATGTTCACAAGGATCGATAATTTAAAATCTAAGCAAAAGAATATGTTTTTTTAAGGCATCAGACTCACTTGCAATCGTAAAATGATTTTCACATAACAACCAATCGTTTACACTCAAATCATTCGTGTGTATCCAAACACAGAAATCCAGTGGTGTGAGCTCGGAAGGCGAGAAGCCACGACTGAAACATGATCCGGTAGATCAAATCGGGTTTAGTGATCAATCACGATCACTTGCAGGATCGTTTTGAATAATCAAGTTTCTAGTCTAATTGAAATCACTCCTTGAACTGAGCAAATTGCTTTCATAACATTGAAACAGCTCATGCCGAGCTAGTGCACGATTAAGGAAATCCACTATAGAACAATATGCTGCTGCTTTGAAAAGATATGAAATCATCGGAGGAATTTTAAAATATCAAATTTTTAGTCAAAAATAACTGAATGATGATCAGGATGATCAGATCACCTTATATGGTATCGCAGCATTGACGGTAGTAAGCTTGTTTCAACCAAATATAACGCCAACAGCTTATGATCGTTTAAATTTCCGCCTGGAATATTCGGAAATTCAACTTCAATCTAATGTTCATTTGAGAGTATTCCAGATCAATACAGTACTTCTAAATATGGAGTATTCCAACGATATAGTAACAGTCAAAACTTAAATCACACCAGCGATAACGGTGACGGTGAAATATTCTTAGAAATACGACAGTTTGTTCAATAGGTTCTTAAAACTGACCTATGTTCACCTTTGATTTGGCCCATAATTTTGTGAAGAATCCTTTCATGGTGGCTGCAGCAAATGAGTCGGCGTCAACCAATCGAATCTGAAATCGTCTCTAATCACCTAGCCGAATTTTAGCCCAGCAAATCCGACTGAGAGTCGTCTTCCAAAGAGTATGAGACTGAACCAATGCCTGGTCTATAGGAGGCAACAATTATTCCTTTTTCGTAGTTTTGATCTGCAGCGATCAAACAACAGCTCGATTGATATGATCAAGTGATCAAAACCCACATCGAAGATGTTGTTGATCGGATTTGAGCTGACAAGCTCAGCGAATTCTTTCATTTGAGGTGATATCGACGAAACAGATTCATCCCATTCGTCCAGTAGATGTGTTACTGTATCGGAAATTGTTTCACAAAAATCCGGCATTGGTGTGACTGGCATATGACATTGATGTGCGATTGACTCACGACCCTCCTGAAGAAGACAAATCCAAAATCATCAGGCAGAATTTGGCTTTGTACGAAGTCAAAGCTGCTTGGTATGTTTAGTGATAATCGCAAGGAATTCACAAATTTGCTGATTGTGAGCTTGAGTTGGTCAATAGATATGATACTGTTACTGCAGCTGCTGAATTAACTTACACAATGGAATGATAACTGTGATTTGACGAGTAATTTCCCATTTTGAGTGGCTTCAACATCTCGTGTGCATGATTCCTGCTGTGAGCCAATATCAAGCACTCGGAAGTCAACTGATGATTTGCTTAGAGCTGAAACACAATTCATCTTGCAAAGGATCAACGCGGATCATGATAATTCTTATTAATTTCTGGTTTGTTACTAGACGTGATGTACTGTCAGAGGAGCAGATAGCAGGCAGAGGAACCACATTTTACGTAAATTCCAGAGGAAGAGTATCGCTTCCACATATGATCAAACGAGATCTTGGAGCAGATCATCTGGAGGATCACTCGAGGAAATTAATGACAGTTATAAGTTTGTTTGTTTTTAAAGCAGCTGCAAATGCAAAATTTGATCAAATTATACGACTATAACATACGGGCATTACAGAAATAAGCATGGCAACTGTTGAAGAGCATAGTTTTCGGCACTCCTCGTATGGCTGCCGATAACGCTTTAGCCAACACAAGACCGTTTGGTAGGATTTCAGATGAAGCATCCATATTTAGACATCTTAAAAAATTCTTTCTTTATAATAGTCAAATAGCCCCAAATAACAGCAACTCTAAGTAACTGTTTATCGTTTATCTAACTAGTAAGTATATGGTTGATGGTTTATCCTAAGTCTGGGCGATTTATCGGATCTCTGAGAGCCAGTAATCCTGCTCCAGTGGATGAAATACCCCTAATCGCTGCAAAAAGCTGAGAGCAGCTAAAACTGATCATGAAAATCGCACAAAACAATTGATAAGTTGTATGGCTTGCTGGACGACTACCTGTAGTGATCAATATCGATCTGCTGCAGATCAAACAGCTCATTGGTAATCACTTGCATGTCGTCGTCACCTGTGCAATAGGGCGGCAGATTCGCCCTGTGATCACCAGCGCTTCTAATCAATCGAAGGCTAACGGCTGAAAATTTGAGCGCGATTGATTTCAATTTCACCGTATAGTTAACATTCCATAGTTTTGTTGCCTTTGCAAAAGAAGATAATATTGCCAGCAGCAGCAAACGTAACGCTTAACGCTTCGTTGGTTTTCTAAAATATCTTCAGAGGAATTTGCACCACTGCGTTGAGGCATATTTTATTTTTAGAATTGATGCGAAATCGATGAAACATAATAAATGGAAGACAAAGCAATGGATGCCACGACAAAACACGAAAGAGTGATGATATCATGGAATTCTTGTGAATTGTTTTGGGGAAATGAAAGCTACGATGGCAAAATTTTCGAATGATTCAGCAGCCTTCCATTGCCATTTTGCTGGCATACAACAACTATTGCTGATTGGAGATCAACTGTGAATGATCAGTAGGTGATTTGAGATGAGTATGTTGCTAGAATGATGCAAAATGCCTCCTTAAATCATCCAATCCCATCCCGATTTTGCGAAAAACCGAATCTCAGGATGAATCTCAGGAAGAGTCCGAAGTCTAGGCAAACTCTACTAGTAAATCACTCGATCTTTAAAAACTACTTGTTGTGAACGTATAGAGTCCAGGGGCTATTTCAGAGGCAGGTTATTACGGTGATCAGCAGCATATCAAGGTGATCATGAGTAGATCGATTAGCTGGAAGAAAATCTTGATTGAAAGCGAATGGTGTGCCGACCTTATCGGTGTTTTACCTTAGGCACATGCTATGGCTTTGGCCTGATCACCGTTTCATGGGTGATCAGACATTCACAATATATTGATGGTTCACTTAAGGCATATTGCATGATGGAAACTTATCAAGACTTCAAGCAAACGTACGTGAAGCAGGATAGTATACCAAACCAATCAACTCTTGAAGTGAGTAGACAACTGTATGAAGAGCAACTGAAAATAACCACCTGATTTTAAAATGATCATCAGATAATCCACTGATCGATAGTGATAGCGGCCGGCGGAAAAAATGCACTGGAAGTTGGGTTCTAATTTCAGTCGACCAAGGGCTGCGGCTACTCTCCTATTTTGCCCAATAGTATCTAAAGGCATGAGCTCAAGCTGAGTCTATGATGTGCTTACTGTTAGAATAATAATCATTCCATAAGATAAAGCTGACAATTTTGTGAAGTTGATAAACTGCTCGAGAATTCACGTATGCTGCTGCCGGTCGATCCGCTCATTTTCGCCGAATCTAGCAACCGCGCTCCGTTTGAACATTTAAAAAACAATAAAAGCTAGCTGATCTGATAATTTTTGCTTCAAATTATGGCTTTACATTCAAATTTAGCGTCTGAATCGATTTCGCTTGGAATTTTCATATAATTGCTATGAACAAACTAAATAATTGATCTGATCTCGACATCGGTCGAACATAATAAGACCTGGACAGGCGAGAACTTTTATTCGCTTTAATAGATAGCAGCAGCAGCAGTATGGAGTGAGTTTGCCTTCTACGTTATTACTCCCTCGAGACTGATTATTTGAGAGTTTTGTCGTCTAAATCTTTTTTAGTGCGTTTAAAATCGTCTAAATCCGCCTTTTAAAGTTTATTGTTTATTGCACACGCTTGTCAAGCAAACTCCATCCATCTGCATTCACCTTGATATATGTGACTGAGACAGAAAGTGGATAATCCACCTATATCCTCTAAATGCTGGTCATACACGATCTAGAACAAAGTTTAGACGGTCCAAATGTGATACCACAAGATAACATTAAAACAATCGAAAGCCAGCAATTCTACTGCGATGAATGCCCAACCTAATGAAAAAATTTCGATTTTCGCGATATTTCTCACGATAGGCACGTCTCAAAAGACAACTTGCTCTAAAAACGTGAGAATATATCATGTGAAGGCGGCGTCAAATTCACGAATGAATTTGATCAGAAAGCTGATCAAAAAATATGTGGGAGAGCAAATTCATCAAGTTATCAAATCAAGGCTGATAGAGTTAGGCCAGAAAAAAATCTGATTTCTTGAAAATTCAGCTGGATTATAGGTCAAGACGTAGTGCATCCTAAAACTTCTATTCAGATGAGTTTATACGAGAAGACAATTTGAAATAACGAGAAGACAGTTGGAGACTGGAAATTGCTTGAATATAAGTGACTGACATCGCATGTTAATCTGCAGACGAGAGCGAGCGATTCGAGACGAGAAATCAAGGCAATAATCTTTTGATTGTGAGGTAGAGTGTTACAGGGAGGTACTTTCGTTTATTGAAATAGAAAAAAAGGCCGAGTTGAGCGTGACTAGAAGCACATTTAAATTGGAAACCACATTTAGAATTCTAAAAAGTTTGCCTCAGCAGCATTCGTGTGAACAACGACGCTTAAAGCAGCAGCAATTAAAATTTTTTTCAAAGTAAAATTTTCTTCGAAGTTACTCCCGCAACATATCTACTGAGTAAAGAAGCTCTCCGCTTACCTACTATTACTATTACTACTATATGAAGACTACTACTCATCTATAGAAGTAATCAGCATTGTGGTGTTCCGTCAAAATTCGCTATAGCACNTCGTCATCCTAAAGCATCATCACAATTCAGCCACATGCAGCAGTGACGTTTGATTGATCGACGTTCTTCGCTTCAAATTGGTATTGATTTTAGCCTCCAGTTTGGGTGGGAATTGGCGTGAGCAATATAATTCACGTTTCCAGGGGACATCCATGAATAAATAAATGGTTTTTGATCCTGAATAATCCGTCACTCCAAATGAATATCGCACATAGGCATCCGGTTAAGTGAATGGTATTGGTACATAAATGGGTATCGCCCAGACCTATCTGTCGCTGATCATCACGAGTTCGAAGTTCGATCTCTTGATTGAACAGCTAGCTTCCAATTGACAGCTTTGATCCACTGAAGCACTGCAGAACCAAACCATTAAGGCTCTACCGAACGGCAGTGTTCAATTCACAATCAGCTAACTGTTTTGTGGACTGCGAATGACTCTACAATCTGGATTTTAAGGTTTTAACTGATTGAATGAGGCGATTTCCTACTAAATCTGAACTTTTTGTGGTCAATTGTACGATCACAATTAAATTATTTGATGTCGTTTGGCTGTGGTATGGCTGGCTTTGTATGATGAGAATTGATATTGATGTGAGTGACGACTGTTAAACTTTTATTCATTGATATCCTTATCCTTATCCTTATGTTCATTTCATTCATTCAATTGATAAGCTCTTCAAT